ATTGCTTACTTGCAGCACTCGCCCAATTAACGCTTCACCATTGGTAACTATTTGATCGACTTCTATTCCATGTTTTGCTCCAGCTGAGATTAAAGCAGTTTTACTAAATGGGTTTAATGATACACTCAGTAATTTAGCAGTAACATAATTATATTGTTTTTCCTGCATAAGTGACAACAACCTCTTAAGTTCATTATTTTCGGATTGGATTGTCTCTATGTCATTTTGTAAGCTTTTTAATCTCGCTATTTCTAATTGTAACTCAATATTTTCTTTGGCTAAATTTCGAAAATAAATAAAATGTTGGCTTATTAAGTTAACTTGTTTAAACACATTTTCATGAATTAACAATCCAGTAAAAATAATATTACCAACTATTTCAAGAGAAATAGAGGAAAATTTTTTAGAATTAGTAGTAAATAAGAAAAGTGATACTATGATAAGCGAGAAAACGAAAAAACGTCTAACAGCAATAAGTATAAATTTTGTATAATCTAATATTTTATTAGATTTTTTAATCCTATTCGCCAATAACGCCATATTTAATCTTGTTTAAACAATACATGTTTTAATTTTTGAAAATCTTCTAATACTTTCCCAGAACCAAGAGCTACACAAGATAAGGCTTGATCAGCAACAATTATTGGTAATTTAGTTGCTTCTTTTAGGACATAGTCTAAATTTTTGAGTAATGCTCCACCACCAGTCATAACAATTCCTTTATCAACAATATCAGATGATAATTCTGGAGGAGTACATTCTAGCGCTACTTTTACAGCTTCAACAATTTGACTGACCGGCTCAACTAAACTATCAGCAATTTGTTGTTCGCTGAGTAACATTTCTTTAGGTATTCCATGGACTAAATCTCGCCCTTTAATTTCCATTACTCGTGGTTCTAAATTATCATCTACATAAGCAGTTCCAATTTGTTTTTTAATTTTCTCTGCAGTTGATTCACCAATTAATAAATTATAATGTCTTCTAATATAGGAAATAATAGATTCATCCATTTTATCTCCTCCAACTCGTACAGATCTAGCGTAAACAATACCTCCTAATGATAAAACTGCTACCTCAGTTGTCCCTCCTCCTACGTCAACAATCATTGAACCAGTTGCTTCTGTTACGGGCAGCCCAGCCCCTATTGCCGCAGCCATAGGTTCTTCTATAAGATATACATCTCTGCCTCCAGCACTTTCCGCTGCTTCTTGAATGGCTCTACGCTCAACTGGAGTGGAACCTGATGGTACGCAAATTATAATAACCGGACCAGTAAATGATCTGCGATTATGAACTGTCCTGATGAAATGTTTTATCATTTCTTCAGCTCCTTTGAAATCTG